TATTCATTTTTTTTTACTAAAAATATTACAACACAAAACAAAAATAAAATTTAAGTTCATAAATATAATTTATATAATAAAATTTCATACTTATGAAAATTAATTTTTAAAATTAGATATAATATGTTTCAAAAGAATTTATCTATTAAAGTATAAGAAATCCTATGATCACAAAAAGGGAATTACTAATGCTCGGCTTTGATGAATATTGGATAAACTTTCGACGCTCGATTTTGACGAATGTTAGAGAAAGCTTCAACATAACGAGAGGTAGAGTGATTTCGACTATGAGGTTTAATTAAGATTATACATATATTTATAATTTTTTAATTCTCATGTCCCATTTTCTCAAAAACTTGTTTGTGCCTGTAGTGTCGGGACACGTCAGTGTTTGATTCGCGTTTGATATGGGTACGCCATATTTTTAGAAGTGTTGATACTACATATGTTATAATTTATGCATAAAGTTTCATAATTAGAATAATGATGATTGATCAATTATGCGAAAAAAAAATTAAGGATGATAGAATGACATGTAGAAGGCCATTAAAATTCTAGCTTTAGCTATGACATTTCATTAATTAAATTCGTCAAATACAATCTCGAGTGCATCAACAACCAATGTACACACCTCAAGTAATTTGGAAATCTTTGCATGTTAACAATGCAATCATCATCTTCTCATTCAATCAAAGCCACCATTTGAAAGTTTTCTTATGCCTTGAATTATTAATAAAATGATTAAAGTCTTGAAATTGTGTATGCCAATATTTCTAATAATGTTAAAAGAAAATATATGATTTTGAATTTTTTTCTTGGAAGGCTATAATTAAGAGTGTGAAATAATATTTTTCCTCATAGAAGATGAAAACTCATCCATTTATCATATCATCAACAACATCATCAGTAGTTATTTCCAACTATTTTTGGTTCTCTTTATATACATTGATGCATGAATATTAAACCTGTGAGAAAAACATATAATCATTTTACTAATTTTTACATATTTTACCTTAAGTGACTGAAAGTGCTCATTCTTGGTGTTACAAATAGACTAGTATTTCTAAACCTGCTTGCTAGGTGAATATTTAATGCATTCTTATTTATTGGTTGTTATGGAGGGCTAAAAACATGACCAAATATATTGACATCGATGTTAATTGATTGAGAAACCAAATTTACAAAAAGATAGAGCTGCTATATATTTTTTTAAAAAAGCAAAATTTAGGTGCAGAGTTATCTAAATACATAAGAATTGGACGGTATGTATGTAAATGACAAAACTAATTTAGTACTCGAAGACACTTGTAACACATGCAAAGAGGGCTTTTATTGGAAATGAAAAAAGAATTCCCAATTGAAACAAATAGATAAAATGATGTGACAATTCAGTTAATATACGTTGAAAATAATCATTTCTACTCAGATTTCAGTTGCAAAATGTACTCTTTGCCCCCAATTTTTTAATGGCACGTGGTTTTCCTTCTTTTATCCC